TATAAATGCATCTGCAAAAAGAGAGACGGGAGCTTATTTTGTCATTTAAACTTTAGCTTTGCAGCTAAAGCAGATCGGACCAGGAGTTGGAGCAAAAATAGATTTCAGGTATCGTTTCGCTACATCCAATTTCAAACGTTGTCTCCCATTCAGCTCAGTCTTTATACACATAGTGCCAGCTCACAGCAGGGATCTTGGATCGCTCTCTGTGGACTGTTTGTCACTGGATCATTCTGTAGTAGTGACAGGCAGGTCTGGATTACTTGGACACAACCAGAACGCACAACAAAACAAACAAACAAACAAAAAAACCGCACAAACACTATACGCGTGTAGACGATGCAGGGCTTATTGGAGCTGAGCTTTGAACCACAGATGGATTCACACGGAGCTTCATCAGAGTCGACTCAGTACCGATACTCGCTTAGGATTCGTTCAGTAACACCGTAATAAAAGTTGACATTACTGTATCGTACAGCCTTTATGAGGCAGCGCGTTCACTGCAGGGCGACAGGCCTTAGACTGTTACAGCACCCACCTTCATATTTAAGCAAATTTGAGAAACTTACGAGAGTATCAGCCACAATCTGTGGATTTGAACACTGAAACTTCTATCCCTGTGTCAATAACAATATAACACACTTTGATTGTTAGTAGGCTATAAGATGCACATGTGAGAAAACAGCTGAATTAGGGAGAGGGGAAACTAACAGCTCTCAAACTGGGCATAAGAGGAAACACTGACCTTTCCATGGGTCATCATGTGAACTCCAACACTGTCCTGAGCTGTGAAGAAGCTCAGGACAGTGTTGCCTTCTCTACTGTCGTCTGACCATTCAAAGTGCTTTCAGATGCAAAACTCATGTTTTTGGATAGTTTTGCTTCCCACTGTGTTCAACACTCCTCTGTCATGATTTGGTGCTGCTCTCTTTATGGACCAAAAATCGTCCCTCGTGCAGCTTACAGGTGATTTTCTTGGCTGGTGGGCTCATTAAACAGGAGAAGACTACTGTGACCGACCTGCAAAGATTAGCTGATGAAGTGCTGACGTACTTTAGAGAGAAGCTCTTTTATCCATTTTCTTAAAACTGTATTTTTGGTCTTAACTGCTACCATCACTTCTCTGGCTCGTACATTCACATGTGCCTTTTACTTGAACACAGCAGTGCTTTAAGCTAAATGCCAATGTCAAGTTGCAATATGCGAATCATTTTTAAAAAGGAGCAGTTCATGTGGATTAGCAAACACTTTTCAATGAACTGAGTGTAGTTGTGCAGCTGCTCAGTCATAAACCAAAGGATCAGAGAAACAACTGTAATCTGTGACATTCAAACACCGTACACAAACCGAGGTAAACGTTTCTGTGAGAAACATCAGCTGGTACCCGAGAGCTGAAGAAATCCAACATGGCGGCCAGAGGTCGTGTCAGGTCATGCGGAGTCCTTTGCAACAGGTCAGCCATGTTTCACTACACGTTAGTCCAAGGTCTCTATCAATAATCTGAATCTGCCGGGATGCTGTCGCAGATCATCATCAGTAATCTGCATGCGTCAGACTCCTGGAGGGCCAGTGTGCTGTGAATAATACTGCACGTTAACTGAACACTGCTCGAAGTAGCCGAGTGTTGTCACCAACAACACCAAAGACTTGACCTGAACACGCTCTCCTTGCGTAGATTATGAGAGGGTTCGACTGCAGTCTGAATGATGTGTTGGTCATATAACCTGCTGTCTGCACAGCCTCATTACAGTTATGAAGATTGCTCATGTTCCCTCCCAAACCTTCAACACCATCATACAGTTATTTCCAGAGGTTTTTGGACCATGAAATTTTGCCTTTCACACAACGACAGTGGACTTGAAACCAAATCAACATGTGACAAAACCAGACTTTCTGGTTTAATTGACAGAAGTGTTGCATTGACTGTTGACTGACTGATTCTTCAAGGGTCAAAAGTAACTGGACAACTGACAGACAAGCAGATTCGTGGTCAGACTCCCTCATTGTTCCCTGACAAAGGAGAAAACAGATGTGGAATTAATGGTGAATGTTGAACTTGTACTTAGCTGATCATGGGAACTCTCAGCATGAAGGTGGTTACGCTCCATCAACCAGGACAGATGAGACATTTACAAAGAATATCTAAAAGAGCAGGTGGAGGCAGTGTTGTGGCATACGTATGTATGCCTGAAAACAACTTATTGGTGACGTGACAGAAGCATCAGGATGAATTCTGCAGTGTACAGGATCTCTCTGCTCAGATTTAGCCAAATGCTCCAAAACTGACTGGATGACACCTCAGTGCACATGGACAATGTCCCAAACATACTGCATGAGCAACCCTAGAGCTTTTCTGAGACAAAGAAATGGGACATTGATTGAGTATTGAGGCAAATCTGAAGGCAAACACACACAAAAAGCAGCTGAAGGCAGCTGGAGTAAATGGAATAACGGCCTGGCAGAGTATCACGATGGAGGAAACAGCTGGTGATGTCCGTGGGTTCGAGACTTCGGGCAGTCTTTGACAGCACAGGATTTCAGTGAAGTATTAAAAATAATCCGTACATTTAAAATTACAGCAGTCTGTCCAAATACTTTTGAGCCTCTGAAAGATGTAAAAAAGATTCAACAGGTGATGCAATATTTTTGTTTAAACCCTTTGAATTAAAACAAAGTCTGCATTTCAATAACACCTTGATTTCAAATCCACTGTGATGGTCCACTAAGGCAAGATAAGCAAAAAAGAAAGAAGAAGAAAAAGTTACGTTTATGGGAAAACGAGCTTTCTGCCTGCTGTCTGTAGGCAGCCAACCACAATCTAACACTGCTGGTTGTGACAGCTGTTGTTAGGTCTCAAACTAACTGTGATGAAGCAACTGTCCAACCTGTGTAAGACAGATTGGGTTTGGGCAGGTTTAGAGGTTTAGTCCGGAGCAAAACCATCGACGTCGTCATGAAAATACTTCAAATGGTTTGTGAAAACACACACTTGCATGATAAATAGATAAAAGTGGATTAACACCATCAGATGCTTAGTTCTGTTCATTTGACAGCACCGCAGTTTTCAACCCGTCTCATCTCCACAACTATGTTGGAAGAATAACATTTCCTGACACTTTGGAAACTGCACATTACTCTGCTGCAGCGTTGAGAGCTGCTCATGTAAAAGCCCAGTGACAGTTATGTCACCAACTTTCACCGTTTCTTATCCAGAGCACAGCGAAGATGGGCCTGGAACAGGCGAAGAGTCTGTTCGTAATAACATTGAACGATTGGTTCTTCTCACTAGTTTCACTCTCATGCCAAAAGTTCTCCATCTGAACGACGAGTGCTGTCACTTTAACCAATGGTAAACATTACCGATCCTGGGACTGAGATGGAATTTAGTTTGCAATAAGAACTCTGTAACTGATGTGCGACCAAAGAACAACAACAATGGATCATTTTACACAAACACAAAGGGGCAGCTGTAGCTCAGGAGCTCGAGCAGGAGGTCAACTACTAACCAGAGAGTCGGTGGTTCAATCCCTGGCTGCTCAGGTCAAACATCCTGGGGCAGGATACTGAGCCCGAGTTGTGCCCGATGCATCCATCACAGTACGAATGTTAGAGAGAAAACGCTTGAGCAAAAAGAGAAAAAGTGTTTGGGTGGATGAGGTTACGTTGTATAAAGCGCACAGAGTGCTCAGGTACAGTAGCAAAGGGCTGCGTAAGAACCGGTCCATTACCAACGGCACACTTGCTGCAGTGATCTGTCACATGAGTGAGAGCGGGGTGCAGGCCTGACACTGGGCTCTGTAAGGGTTATGTGTCAGAATATGAGTGGAGTAACTCCATCTTCTAGATACATGTACAAACTGGGCACCAGTGAAATGAAAGCTGGGACTGAGGTCCAACATTTGCAGAGAGTAAATTAGGATTTAGTCATTTATCAACAAGTTGAGTGTCTCTTTCAGCTTTTCTCCAAACTTTATTCAGTGTGTTCGATAACTTCTTTGTGCATGTTTCAAAGGAGTAACAACTGGAGCATGACTGGAGGTGACACACCAGCAGCAGAGCAGGTGGCCTACTGATCGGAAGGTTGGTGGTTCGATCCCCGTCTGCTCCAGTCTGCACGCCAAATATCCTTGGGCAAGATGCTAACCCCAGGTTGCTCTCCGATGCGTCCATCGGAGTGTGAATGTGTGTGAATGTTAGTCAGACAGCGCTTGTGTGATTGGGTGAATCACCGAGTTGTGTAAAGCGCTTTGAGCGCTCAGATAGAGCAGAAAAGCGCTACCAGTCCATTTAGCACTGGTCATGCTAACATGCTAACTGAGCTGTTTCAACAAAGAGACGTTCCACACAAACCTGTTTTCATCGACTTCCTCCTGTTCATGTTGTCAACAACAGAACAAGTAGTGACAAATAACGCCATCAAGACCAACGTCAGCTCTGCTGTGACTTCAGTGAGCGCCCTCAGGGATAGAAGCAACATGTAGTCATCCTGTGGTGGCTTCAGGTAAGGCCTTTGTTAAGAAGCCCACAAAGTGTTCAGCTATGTCACCAACTTTGCCTTGCTTGTGTCATCACAGCTGACCAATAAGAGTGGAGTTGGAATTTTGGAAGGAGGGCTTTAAAGCGACAGAAACTCAAACGGAGCATTTGTAGAAGTGCAGGATCATAAAGTGTTTTTGAACATTAAAAGCATGTAAACATCTTTTGGGGATTATGAACATGAGCCTGTAAATAAAGCAAAACGAGAAACACAAAACACACCTCGGTGAAATCGGAGCGTCTCACCGGACTCTGGTTAGCCGTCAGCCAGCATCCAGACCGCAGCCACTCTTAACTCTTCTCCATACAAAAACATCGAATTTGAAATATGCACAGTGCTCCTCTGGAGAGGAAACGTGTGTGCAGAGCAGACACACGATGATTGAGCCATGCCTCTCCTTAAAAGATAAAATCCACGTCCTTTTTCTCTGAAGCTAGGTATCTATACATAATCCATACAGACATTTTAATAGTTTCTGTTTTATGTTGATTATTATCGTCTCCGGCAGCTGTACCTCTCAGGTACGCAACCATTTTATTAGGAGACGCCGCATAAAGTTTAAACAAACAAACAAAAAGGGATGAGGTAGGGATGGGAATAGTAGTTAGGGTTTGGGAATGGGTGTTGCACAACATTTAGAAAATAATCTAAAAACCAAAATATAAAAAGAAGAAGAACCCAGATTTGTAGTTACAGAGTCTGTGGTTTGGACGCACAAAATATGCTTCCACCTTTAGCTTTGAGGTCTTTTCGCTCTCTCAAAGAACACGCGATGCCACGAGGAACAGCGGGGTGAAAGGGTTCAGTCTGTGCATACTGAACAGCCGAAGGTTTGGGGTGGGGAGTATGGGTGAGGTGGTTTAGTAGGTCACTGGGAAATAGTGAAATGGGATGGGACCAACAGGTTTCTGTCTGAATGAAGAGCATCAGCAGCCCCAATACTTGGCAGGTACACAGACGACACACTCGGCCTGTCAGCTTCCGTCTCGCTGGAGCTTCGACTGACTGCTGGTCTCCTGAAGAGGCAGATGGTAAACTGCTGTGACTGTCCATCGTGATTAGTACAACTTAAGTATCATCCAGCATAAAAAAGTGTGTTACTGTTTCAATCTGAAATGAAGAACCTGATAAGAAGCTTTTCGTGAACGACGGTGGAAGCAAAGGAAAGATTATCCGAACGCCGATCACATAGGATTTTCTTTTGCTTTCGTCTGTCGCTCGCTTCCAGTTCATTAACTCTGTTGGTGGCAGAATCTCCGGCGCTGTCCTGAAACTTAACTTTAGCATATCAGAATTTTGGCTGTGTGTCACTGTGAAGCAGGCCCTTTTAGGGAGATTGTACAGGTGTGGGTGCTCTGCTGCTCCCTCCTTCCCTCCCTCCAGCTTTTCCATTTTTAAAATGGGTTCTTCATCCTCTTTTCAAGAGCATGCAGAGCCTCAAACTGTCTGTTTTTGTACCCATCGGGATTTTCCACTGTTTCATCCAAGTCGAGACTATTTTACAAAGCTTGTAAGTTGCATAGCAACCAGAACGCATCATCTTGATCTTCTGTTACTAGCAACAATCACAGCTAAGCTGTAGGACAAATTATAAAGAAAAAAAAAATCCTATATGACCTTGGCCTAAAGAAACCGACAACGACAGGCCGTCACTACCCAGAGTCAAAGATAAACAGCAGAAAAACAAACCATCAAAAGGAAAAAGCATAATGAGTAATAGTAACAGAAGCAAATATGGTAGTTGTGGGAATAATAATGCTACCACCAGTTATAATAAGGGGAATTATAATTCTTAAATAGACTGAAGAAGAAGGATTTTACTATATTAAGAGCATGTCAAATGCACTGGTCGTTTAGAGTCCTTGTCCAACTTGGTGGGGTTTTTATGGGTCAGTTTAAGGTAGGCACATGGACAGGCACTGCATGCGATGAGAGGTGAAGAGGAGAGGGTATCGACTGATTTAGGAGTGCTTCGGTATGGTTTAGGTATGAAGATGAAGGTGGCTTCAAGGGGCAAGAGCTGGACAGGGCTCATTTCTGTCCAGTGATCGACTGCGATATGGATCGAGGCGGGATCATGTCCAACAGGTACTCTCTCTGCCGGTCTGCTAAGCTGGAGCTCTTATGGGCTCCGACAGCCGCTGGGTTCAGATAGGCAATGTTTAACCCTGTGGAAGCAGAAGGACAACATTCAGAGAAGATGCACTTTGTAGAGTTTAAGGCTCAAACATTTGTAAGTGACCTTTTGTTTTGTTGCTATTGACATGAACTAGCCTTATTTTCTTATTTTATACGTTTACTAGAATTTTTTGAATGTAAAGAAACAGCAATAAAACTACATCGATACAGAGGTGGACACAGCGAAACATCTGCGTCCTCACCTTCTCCCGTTTGTTTGAATGATTGACCCCAGATAACCTTCTCTGGCATATTTACCGTCACACCTGCCTCACTCTCATTCACATCCATGTAAACAAGACTGCACTCAGAGTTGTTCCCAGGCTTATATAATCCAACTGTCACATATTCTGCACCACCCTCACATACTCCTCTGTCTTCGTGCAGTATCAGTCGACCCCACCCCTCCACCCCCCAACACCCAATCATATGCTTTCTATAAAGCCACAGTGTAACTCGTCCTGACCTTCTGACTTGCTGATAGCCACGTCTCTGCTTAAGCTAATGTTAAAGACCTTGGTGGATGCTGATTTGAATGGCTGGTTGTCGCCTTCGCTCTACACCCCTGCAAAGTTTTATCAGAATTCATTCCATAGTTTCTGAGCTGTCGTGTTTACAGACAGAAAGACAAAACACAACGTCCTGGGTGGAGCTAATAAACCTACGAATGGCTGATGTTGACTAAGATGCACGGCAGGAAACAAAACACACACACGGACCCTCACCCATCAAGCAGAAAGGGCAAAGGTGTAGGTACCTGGGATGTTGTAGATCTGCCGACGGTTGTCATGCTGCAGTCTGTTACTGCTGCTGTTGCTGCCGCCTCCGCTGCCGCCACAATGCTTGGCACTGGTCATGCCCATGAGGCTGCTGGCCACAGAGAGCTGGGAGGCCTGGGCAAAGTTGGACAGGACCCCTCGTGCCGAGTTCGACAGCCCTTGCTGCAGGGAGGCCTGAGGCTGGGGAGCCTAAGAACCAGAGATTTGCTAGTTATTGCTTGAAGCACATTTGGTTTGGAATACATACACACGAGCACCATACATCTCCTTATTCCTTCCAAGTTAATAGTGGACTCTCTGCTGGAACATACCTGGCGGAGGGCATGATGTCGGATCATGGTGTCAGACTTGGAGGCGTTGGTAGGGACTGAGCTGGGAGAGAGAGCAGCCTGCTGCTGCAGCCTCTGTTCAATCTCCTAACAAGAGAACCACATTCAGGAGTCTTGTGCATTGGTGCCACCATGTACTTACATTCAACGACTCCACAATCACTACCAAATACCCCAGCTATGTTTGGGAGTTTAGGTGTGGTAACAAAGAGACTGCAAAGCAGGATTACATCTTATCTGAGTAACTTCAGCACTAATTCAGGGTTTTCAGTACTGAAAAGCTCTGGAGCACTTTTAACTTCCTTTTTAAAATCAGCTGCTCTGCTCACAGCAGACTTATTTATCCAGATGCTGCCAATGCCATCCCTGTGATGTGACCATGCAGTGAAAACCCTGGGTTAACCTAGCTAGCTGACACCAGCTTTTTAGGGTGAAGCCAGGTGAGGCTCTGCTGAGTCAGAACGACAACGTGCTCATTAGTGACTCGGATGTTTAAAAACATGAAACGCAGTCCCAACTGTGTCCCTATTATTTATTTATCACTTTGCTACCAACACCAGACGACAACACTTTGTGTGGCTAGACAGTAAAATTGTGATAGCCACACAATCTCGTGACATAAACAAACTTAAGTGAGAGTAAGAATCAGCCAGCATGATGCAGGTACATAAGCTGCTAACCTGCTCCTGTTGTAAGGCCTTCACAAAGGCATTCTTCAGCCTGTTGGTATGCTCTGCCTTCAAAGCCTTTTTCTGATTGGATGTCATGCACTGCTCGCAGAGGATTCTCCCACTCTTCTCCTGCTTCCAGTGGGGGGTGAAGTCAGTTCTGCACTGGGCGCAGAAGAAAGGCTCCAGACGGGCCAGCGTCCCTCTGAGTTTACCTACAGACAGGACTCCGTTAACAACGACAGAGCTACAGCGACAGGCGGTGCTCGAGCAGACGCACACCCAGAATTTACTTTAAACCTTAAAGTCATCACAGCACTCCTGACACAAACTGAAGGCACTTTGTTCTGCTCTTAGTGATTCAAGCACAGCTGAGCAGACAGGTGCCAGGTGTAGCCTCCTGTATTCAGACCTTTAAAGGCTGACAGGGTAAAAAGGCAGTGCTACAAGGATGGAGCTGGATTCAGGGACAATGATTTCTCAACCATGACCGCACATACGAGAAGAACTTCCTGCTTCTGGCTCTGCTAAGCCTTGATTGGTTATTGCGATGCACAAACTATGGACAGAAGAAACAATAGCACCACCTGCTGGGGAGATTTAGTCAGCACACAAAGTCTTGGCAAATCTTTATAATTATTATCAAAATGGTCTCTGGGTCATGCTCACACAACCGAAGGAGTTTGGTGCAAACACACAAACGCTTACGTATTTATTTAAATATACCGTATTCATGGTTTGTCTGTCAGTTCAATTTGACGGGTTAGGTATAAATCAAAGATTTGCTGCAGATGTTTCCTCCCCCAATATCTGATATTTACTTACCCTGACTGTCGAGCACACTCTGCACCACCTCCTCGAGGCCCACCATGTAGATGAACTCACTGTTGGCAGCAGAGGGCAGGAAGTGCAGGAGAGGGGCTGGGGGTTTGGGTGGAGGGATCTCCAATAAGGTTTTCTCCAGCTGCTTCCTTAGGGCCAGCTTGGCTGCTGCCTGACTGCTCGCCTGGTCTGCCATGGAGCTCACCGCTCCGCTGGCTGAACCAGACATGGTGGACGGGCTGACGGCCGAAGCTCCGCCCAGACCGCCGGCCCCAGCTGCTGCTGCTTGCATGTGGGCCAGGTTCATGTACATGGCACTGGAGCCTGAGCGCTGGGAAGCTGCCACCTGACTGGCCTGCAGAGAGATATACACCCTCTATTAGAGCAGGGCGATATGGCCAAAAATATTTATCACGATATATATTTGAAAATTTGCGATAACGATATAACTGACGATATAATTGATGCGAGACAAAATACAACTCCACAACATTACTAGTGCAAAAAGACAACCTTCCATTTATTTTCACTTAAACAAGAAGCTGGTTTTTATGTACATTAAAGCTTTATAAAAATGTAACAGTGCAAATGCAAATTCCTTGCTGAAAGTTTAACCAAAAGGCATTTCCAGTAGAAATGGGCTGACATGTCCTGAGCATAACCATGTATAATATCCACTGAAGTTAAAAAGAGGTGCTTTGCAACATTAAACTGCAGTGTGCAGTACGTATTTTTCGGACCATAAGGTGCACGGGATTATAAGGCACATTAAGCGAAACAAAGCAGTCAGATAAATCAAACTTTATTAAACTCATTCTTCTTGCTTCCTCCGCTTCTGTACCATTGATTCATTAATGTTGAATTCTCTGGCAGCTGCTCTATTCCCATGTTGCTGCAGTATATTAAAGACTAACTTCGTACTGTGGATGGATTATCTCAGTTGTTCTCCTGACTGAAGTTTGGTCCGTTTACAGCATCCTGCCATGCGATTGCATTTGTCTCTAACCATGAAGAACCTTCACGTTAACTTTTATAAGTGGAAAAGTGTTAGTGTTCGTCCTCCAGCTTCACTGTTTATGTTATGCTAACATAGCTGTGTCGCTAGCGATCACGTAGCACATCATTATATACCAGCTAGCCCAACTTCAGTAACCCTACAAACGTCACTGCTGTTTAGTTTCCTGTCTTCATTTATGTTGGAAGTGATAGCAGAGCTGTACGTTTGATTTTTTTCAGAAATCTCTCAGTCAGAACATGCTATATCATGCTTAGGTAACTAGCGAAACTAGCGAGCTAACTTCTGCTAGCTTCCTGCTAACTTCTAACTCCGTTAAATGTAATACATTTAGTTTTCATGGATGCCTGGAAGTTAAACTTCATAGTTACACCTGGTAAAGCAGCAATGCTGATCGTTTTATTAAAGATGAAAGAATTTAGACAGTTTTTAACGCTCAGTGATGCTGCAGTATTGTTTGACCTGAAGAATACGGAGTTTAGGACCCAGATTGCTCCCAGATTTAAGAGCATCTTAGTCCGACAAATACGACAATAACAACGGCCGCTTGCATGTTCTGCAAAAAAAATGTGCTTTGTTGTGTATCTGACGGACAAACACCAAACCAGTTCCACATCACGGAAGTTGCACCGTTTTTACAAACCAATTCTGGTTCATCTGTTTCACTCAACAAGCGGCCATGTGCGTATGAAAACAAAGGCACTGCGCATGCGCGTTTTACCCATATTCTATCGCTATATTTCATTTTCCTATCGTTGCCTAACAGTATTACCGTGAACGGTATAATATGGCCCAGCCCTACCCTCTATTACTGAGAAAAGCCACATATGTAAAGGATTTGATCAGTGATCTCTCTCTAGGCAGTCCTACCATTCACCATACAAGTTCACACCTTTCTCAAAAGAATGCTTTACCCCAGGTCGGTTTGACTCTATACCTGCTGGTAGCTGACAGCATTAGCCATGCTGTTGGAACTGGAACGAGACATCCCAGGTTTGGACGCGACCCTCTGGCCCTGCAGCTGGGCAGGGTTGGGTGCTATCACTCGCTGAGACATCAATATGGGGGGCAAGTTTGCATTAGCTGCTGACCGGATGACTGTGTGACCCTGCAGAAAGGAGAAGGGCAACAAAGGGTTTCATTGTTCAGCAGAGATCAGAGAAAATCCCTGATGTCTGCAAATGACACCTGCTCACCTGGTTTACTGTAAATGGATAATACACACCATGGCTCATTCACACAAGCACGTTCTTCTATGTTTAAGTGCTTTTTTATCCACCGTAGCTCAAAATTTTATCTGGAGCTAAAAATCCAGAAGATTTAGTTTTTTTCCCTTTTGAGTCTCAAAACTGAAAGCTTGCACAGTTTTTAAAAACTGGCACGTATCATTGGCTAAAAGATGAAAACAAGACCGTACTTGGTAAGAACATTCCTCTACAGTGAGTGGTGCAACCACCAACAAGGCGATGAATCATCTCAGTAAATCAGATAGGCTAACCTGGAGTCACTGATAGCATATCCACGCTGTCCCACAGCAGAGACGTGGATTCAGTCTCAAAGAAAACTGACATTTTGCTAAAGACATCAACAAAAGGCGGGAGTTCAGCGTGCGGAGCCGTCTCTGTAAGTACTCTACATTTGGTGAAGTTTAAAATGTGACTACAGATAAAAAGGAGACATTTCAGATTCCATTACTGTCCTACATGGTCACATGACCCTTTCTTACAGCCAAAACGTCTAAGGTTCATTTACATCATAGACACTGGTGCAGCTTTGCTGTTGGTTACACTGAGTGACTTCTGTAGTTCTTGTTCTTTCTTTGTGAGTCAAAGACGTCATTTAAAGTCAGCACGGCTGGTTTAAGGTGCAAGGTCGAGACAACACTACAGAACCCCAACAATCACACAGTTCCTGGAAAACAGGAACTTCACTGGTGTGATCTCTAATGAAAATGTACCCTTCGCCTCACACTCACTCACACACCTGTGCAGTGCGGAGGTTCTGGGGCTCAGGGTTGTGTAGACCTGGCCTCACAGGTAGCTTCCCCAGGACAGGAGAGCTGTGGATGGGAGGAGGCTGCACAGATGACGCAGCATTCTGGACCACTGGGACCTGCAAGAGAGCAACGATAAACCAGGACTGGAATATCTCAGATTGATTTTCTGGTGCTTTCTTCATATATAAATGTTTACTGCATATGATTTAGAGCAGGGCTCTCAAACTAAACGAGACACTGCTGGCACTGTTGTCTCATGCGAGGGCAAACAAAAACAAACAAGAAAACACCCACAAATCTCCCCTAAAATGTAGTTTTGTTTAAAAAAAATTCAAATTTTCTACAACAAGACAAATCTTTTTTTCCTATTTTTGTTCGTATTTAACAGAAGTGCAGACATAGGTGTGCACATTAGTTTGTGAGTCTGTCAGTGAACTAACACACCCGTCATGTTTGTGTCTCTGCTCACGTCGCCTTCATATTCAATCATTTGACGAACTTATTTTAACATTTCACTCAACAACAAACAAAATCGTCACTTCAACAGTCAAACTGCATTTTATTTCTACAGGTCCATATATGGCAGCAAGCGGGGGCTGCGAGTGGTCCCCGAGCCACGGTTTTGGGAGCCCTGATTTAGAACAATATTACAGTACCGTCTGCAGCTAAGGGGTACACACGTTTCAATACTGATTTCCAATATCCTGCACTATCCATTGTCTATATAGGTCATGCTCTCCAGATATAAACTATTATTATTATTATGTTAGGATCAGTCTATGCAATATATTTGTCTAGTTAAATTATTGAAATATTAACATGACAAACTGCTGCCGTGATGACATAAGACACTAAAGCCTCCTTGAGCAAACACTGATTTGGCACCAAATAAAAGTGACTTGAACTGAACCCACATAACCACGGCGAGGCACCACGGACAGATGCAAAGAGCTGCAGAGCTCCAACAGTGGCCGTGACTGTGAGAATGTGTGGCATCAGCAGCACTGACCTTCTGGACCACATTCTCCTTCTGCATTTGACTCTGCCTGAGCTTCTTCAGCAGCACGAGACGAGCCTCCTCCAGACGAAGCTCTTCTCTTAGAGCTTTGATCATCTGCTGCCTCTCCTCTCCTGTTTTCCCCTGGTACAAACGAGCACACAAAATTAGAAAGGCACACTATATCCGGACATAAGACCAGAGGCAACTTCGAGCTCGTTGAACTCAACAGCCAGTCTGTATAAACCAGACTAAACCTACACAGAAGCTGCAGTTTGAACAGCGCGTCGTGTTTCTGCATCGACACAGGATGTGACTGCAGAAAGTAAACAGGACACGTTTGGCTGAAATATTCTTTTGTGCAAAGTCAAAAGCAGCAATTTAAAACCTGTTTACGTCAAGAAAAAGTGATTTTGACCAATTCATTCACAGGATTCTTCATGCATCTGTAGTAATGTCATTGCTGGTATTTAGACACATCTGTATTCCTGTTTCCATGACAGCCTGTGGAAACATGCAGGTTTCACACATGTGACACTGACTATTACTTATATTTGTTGTTGTTTATTGTCCACCTGCGTTTACTCAGAGCTTCTCCCTGATTACTCTGCTCGGCTAAAACAGCTGCTGACAATGACGTCCTCTGCTCTGCATCTATAATCAGACTCTGGAAACATTACAGTCCATCCACCACTTTGATCACACTCTGGATCTTCTGACATACAGGATGAAATTAGACTCATTTCATTACAGTAGATGTCTTTTGGAAAGTGCTGTGACTCAAAAGGTCACAACTCCTCCACTGTTCCTTTCTTGAAAACCTTGTGACAACACCGTACAGAGAAGCTACCCAAGCTCTACTCCCACACAAGTCACCTCCTTAAGAGAACAGAATTGCCTTTTATTGTCATTGTACATGTACAAATGATTGGTGCGCCACGCCAACTGTGCAGGAGTAAGAAAACAAAAACACAACAGTGTTAATAGCTCCTGTGAAAAGGAAAAGCTTCAATCAGGACTTCCTGGTATCACTCTTGGTTGGTGGTGCATCGGCAGCTTCAGTTCAGGACTACGCTTCCTCCTGACCGTCACCCACCCGGCCTGTTTTCCCTGCTGCTCAGGACAATCTGCTGGGTGAGCTAACAGTGGCTTTGCTACCATCGCTCGCCCCGACCGCAGGGCTTAAGCTAGCTGCAGGGTTTTTAGGGTGTGAAGCCAGGTCTCATTAAGTGTAGCATCCTGAAATATCTGAGCGACCGACCTCTACACTTGATTTATGCACCAGTGTTAAAGGACTTGTACAGCATATTCAGTCTATTTCTGCCCCCTTGCAGGAGTGCTGCGAATGCCTTTTACCTTGAACATGTCCAGGTTAGCCTTGTGCACACGCTCCTCGGGCCGAGGTGTCGTTCTGGGACTGGAAGCCTCGTTGTCTGACAGGATGATGACATCCGGTGACGGAGTTCGTCTGTCATGATCAGCATCACTAGTAAGAAAAAAAGATCAAACACAAAGTGCAGTCAGTTTCTGCAGCATTTAAAGTCGTACTTTATCATCACAGGATCTGACAGCTTTACTAAACTGCGTGGGGTCGCTTGACATCTGTTCTGCTGGTTTTCCCGGTAGGTTCAATGGAAGTCAGCTTACAGGTTGGGAATCTTTAGTCATGCTCGTTGGTTAAAAGCAGAATAACAAAGAAACTGCGCCCCATTGCTAACGTCCATGTGCTGATTCTTAAACTTAAAAGCAAATCTTTCACCAGCTCCAGACACAAAGGTTTGGGGGACAGAAACAGTAATGTACATTGTCACACATTTCATTTATCAAAGAAGATTGAACATACTGTATAGCAACACTAGATTACATGTAGGCTAGTGGTGCCCTTGTGTCATTGTTCCATGTTATACATTTCATCAGCCCCACAGTTTGAGGGCCGATTTACTGAAGAACTGACTGATTTTTACAGCTGCCCCTGCTGCATGTGCATTTTCATTACTGTAAAACAGCCATAAAACTAACCACACCTTTGGTACACCTGTGTTACTTTGTGCCGTTTAGTAATTTGGGCCCTTGAGGGTTTTCGTTACTTTTCGTGTGGTTTAAACCTTTGCTATGCACCTTGCACACAATGTACATACAAGCCCTGCTCTGTAGGGGCGAGCTGGCACCAAATACTGTATGTGGACTATTCCACAGATTTCTTACTGAACCTGTGGAATAAGTTGGTCCCTCTGTAGTCATGTAAAAGCCACAGAGACAGTGTGCCGTGGACACTTCTTGCAGTTCGGTGGCCAAAAATGTGCCAACGAGGACAAAAGTGAAGATTTTCATTGACAGCCAAGGTTTCACCCACTAGTTACTTTTGCAGAGTAAAACTAGCTGCTAAGGTGAACTGGTATTGTCCTTCAAATAATCAGATAAACGATGGCTGGATTCAGGTAAACGGACATGCTATAAAGCACATGCCTGCTCTTTACACAGAATCCTTCTGTTTAAAATGTTTATTCTCACCACCTCCTCCCAGCGCTCATGTCGACTGGCTCATCCAGGATGTTCTCCTTTCCATTCTTACTTGGTCCAACGGGGCTACTGTGGCTTCCCAGCCTCAGACTCCCATTTAACTTCTCCTCATAAGCAGCACCCATTAGGCTCTGATGATGGAGGCTGCTGGCTCCAGGGCCTTTTCCATCTCCCAAGCTCCCTGCAACATCTAGGGCTGCTAGGTCAGCTAAGTCCTTGCGTTTAAGAAGTGCCAGCATCTTCAGGCGCTCCATGGCCTCGTGACCTTCCATTTTGAGGCGCTTGGCCAACGCCTCTTCTCGCTCACTGGTTGACTCAAGGCCTCGCTTAAGTAGGTTCAGCCTCAGCGCCTCCTCAGACATCTGCTCCATCCTAAAAACAAGAGAGGTCAGACAGGTCAGCAGAGCCACCTTAAACCCAAATAGGTTCAGGTCAGATAACAAACACACTCCTCTATGTAACTTAAAGCATGAGTACAGTTATCCACCACATTGGGTGCAATAGCTGAACGACTCTGGAACCTCCAATCCTTCCCAACCCTTATTCCAGATGTTCTCTCCTCCCTTTGTCAGCAAAGTTAATCCCACGTTCCTCTGAAACCACGGGGAACAACTCCAAGTTATCCCAGCGATCCGAGCTCGAATCAGTTTTTAATCTGGTATTAACATGATTACGTTTGTATATTTCTACACTTTTCCTAATCCAGATAATGTAATGCAGATGTAAATACAGAGAACACAGCTTTGCATGGCGCTCGATGATGAATACTATTTTTGTGTAGACTGGAAAAAATAAAGAAATTAATAAATCGATCGATAAGAAAAAGCAAAGAGCAACAAAGATACAACCCCACCAGATCATAGACCAGTTGGAAAGGCAAACCCTGTCCCTGCTAAGTTCCACTGTTAGCGTGACAAAACACACAAAGCAGTGTGTAATGAGGAAGAGCAGGGGGCGAACCTGACAGCAAACTCACTCAGATGGACGAGTCAGATTAAACAATATATTTCATTGATCGTCTCCTCTGGGTTACTATAAAATAGTTTAGCATGAATGACTTCTGCATGTCGGCAAAGCTGAGAGGAAAGTGGAGGCCAGACAGCGCTGAGGCACAACTTTGACTTTGAAGGTAATCGGGCTCCGTGTCTGGTTTGTGCTGCACTTTTTACAGTAGCTCTATAGTGACTGTAGAGAAACGTACGTAGAAAATCAGACGGAGACCTTAGACTAGACAACCTCCAAGAAGCACATTTTCCCCAGCAGCCAGTGGGTGTGCAACGTCCAGTGTGGTGGAGAACTCTGGAGCAAGTGTCATGTATGAAGTGAGTCATCTGGTCTACATGAATACAAAACGAATGAAAACTACAATCCTTCCAGCTCTGGGCCTGGGAGCTGGCCTTTGCTCTCCTGGACGCCATTCGCCCAGTCTGGAGGTTACTGCTCCGATTACCACACACGCACGCACACGTGCGCACACACACTCGAGCACTGCTTGACAAACACATTTTACTCCTCACTTTGTCACTTCCTATTGGTAGATTCGACCTGCTGGCGTCACTCTGGCGTGCCCCTCATGGTGTCGGGCTTTTCACCGCTCTAATCTGTTCATCCTGTCCTCCACTCGTGTCAGTTATTAACCTCACATCTACAGCTGCCTCT